CTCCTGGGGTTTCTGGAAACCTACAGACTGACTTGACGTGGGAGAGGGGGACTTTCACTTCTCCTTTCCCCACCGAACACCCCCCCGCCCCCCCATGGGCCACAACGGAGTCAGGGCCTCAGGCATTTGCACAAAAGTTTAAAGTAACCAGGATTTGAAATCAAGACAGAATCAAGGCAGGATGGATCTGAGCCTTGGGATCCGAAGGCAAAAGGAAAAATCAGTGATAGAGTATCATGTCTTTTTTTAAAATGCTGACATTTTGTCCATCGTGGATTTAGGCATTAAGTTTGATTCCCTAAAATGTTGCATGAAAATATTTCTCCGGTTACTTACTGAGGTGGTTGTGGATGGTTTGTTCTGGAGCCCCCCCTTAAATTTTGGGCCCTCGCCCTGGTCCCAGCCCTGCCCCTGATATTTTTCTTAGGGACCATGTGACAAGACAGGAAAACTTATGACAATGTCCAGGGACACTTGCTGTGTCTCTGGGGACAAAGTGGAGGTGATGGGATCCTGGAAAGGCCCAGGCCCAGGGGCTTTTTGGAGGTGGTATCAGGGAAGCATTAGTTGTGGGAAGGAAGAGGGCCTCTCTTGAGGAGGAAGTGAGAAAGGGTAGAGGTGGTCTCCAGAAATGCGGAGGTGGACTTAGTGCTGTCCAGACAACAGGGCTGGATCTCAGAATGGATTTCTTTCTTTTTTTATTATTATTTTTTTAAATGTTTATTTCTTTGGGAGGGGGGAGGGTCAGACAGAGAGAGAGAGAGACAGAGGATCTGAAGCAGACTCTGAGCTGACAGTGAAGAGCCTAAGTAACATCATTTTGAAATTAAGGCCTCCCTTAAGAGCAACCTCAGGCTGCACGTGTAGCCCCAGTTCCTCAGATTGCTCAGGGCTAAAGCCATCCTCGGACCGCCCTCAGGTCAGCTAATCAAAAAACATTCCTGTGGTCTGAGTCAGGGCTGGGAACTGTAGACAGTTATTCTGTACAAACTAGCCAATTTCTCACCGCTTGCCTGAACCCCACGTGGGCCCTTTGAACTCACCTCATCATTGGTCATTTTCAAAGGATCCTCAAAAGTCATGATTGAGTCCCACCAAAAGTAATGAACACCTCACAGATACTGAATGGTCAAAGCTGTTACCATGGGTGCTGTACAATTGTAATTGGTGCTTATGTGATGATGCTATGTGTACTGTAACACCCCCACCCCTACCCCTTAACAGCCCTACTCGCTATTGTTCAGGCTTCACCTTCGGCCACTAAACCGGTAGGCGGGTGAGCCCCTGCTCGAGTTTATAATAAAGACCCTTTTGTACTTGCATCGGTGTCGGCTCCTTGGGGGTCTCAGGGGACTCGCGAATCGGGCACAACAACAGCTGAAAGGGTTCCGTGGTAACATCAGAGAGCCTGATGCAAGGCTCAGACTCAGGAACCCTGAGATCATGACCTGAGCTGAAGTCAGATGCTTAATCGACTGAGGCACCCAGGCGCCCGGGTTCAGATTTCTTAATTGGAGAGGAAGAGAATAGAGGCAAGAGCAGAGGGGTGACCTGGCATTTGTGTAGGTAAGTGGTTCTCAAACTGTAATCCCCAGACCAGGACCTTTAGCATCATCAGGGAATTATTATGCATGTAAACATTTCCAGCTTCCTATGAAATCAGTGAATTAGAAACAACAGAGGGTGGGGCCTAGGAGTCTGTTTTCTCCAGGAGGTTTTCTTTTTTTTCTTTTTTTAAATGTTTTATTTATTTCTGAGAGAGAGACAGAGACAGAGACAGCATGAACAGGGGAGGGTCAGAGAGAGAGAGGGAGACACAGAATCTGAAACAGGCTCCAGGCTCTGAGCTAGCTGTCAGCACAGAGCCTGATGTGGGGCTCAGACTCACAAACCATGAAATCATGACCTGAGCTGAAGTTGGATGCTTAACCAACTGAGCCACCCAGGCGCCCCTCTCCAGATTTTCAAACACTTGAATTTGAGAACCACTGGCTGAAGGCTCTCAACCCTGAAACTCCACACCCGTTTAACAAATAGTTTGTAATGATTACTAACTGGGAACAAGATTTATAGATTATGAAGCCCACGTACACATGTAATCTAAAAACCAAATCTATAATGCACAGACTGTAAAGTAGACATAAAAGAAAAATAAATCATAACAAAACAGGCATTTTAGTGTGTGAATACTTGGGCACAGCTCCCTGGAGGGCACAGGAAAGTCTCGGAAGTTTGTGTCTGTTTTTTAATAAACGTGTTTGGATTTGAGAGTAAGAAATTCATCATTCACCTGAATTTTGTCCCCAATTTTGTCTCATATTTGATATTTTATTTATTTATTTAAATGTTTTTTTAATAGTTTGTTTTATTTTTGAGACAGAGAGAGACAGAACATGAGGGGAGGGGCAGAGAGAGAGGGAGACAGAATCCAAAACAGGCTCCAAGTTCTGAACTGTCAGCACAGAGCCCGATGCAGGGCTCGAACCCACGGACCACGAGACCATGACCTGAGCTGAAGTTGGACCCTTAACCAACTGAGACACCCAGGTGCCCCTATTTTTGAGAGAGAGAGAGAGAGACAGAGCATGAATGTGGGGAGGGGCAGAGGGAGAGGCAGACACAGAATCCTAGGCAGGCTCCAGGCTCAGACTGCCAGCACACAGCCTGACACCGGGACTTGAACCCACAATCGCAAGATCATGACCTGAGCTGAGGTCAGATACTTAACGAACTGAACCACCCAGGAGTCCCTATATTTGATAATTAAAATAAGTGCTAAATAAGTATGACTGTGGACCAAGATCACAGGTATAAACGCAAACCTGTTCAATCAACTAATATGAGGAGTGGTGTTGCCATTCATAAACTCTTCCCAAATGGTGAACAACTCTCCACAAAGCTCTCAAAGTATACTTTTCCCTCTAGTTAAATATAGTTGCATTTCTAAAAATTTCCTGAAAGAGACTTGGCATTGATATATAAAATGGAGTTAAATCCTGGCTTCAGAGAATTATGAATGGGTTTCTCACCTACACAGGTGTTTGTGGGAATGGAACAATTCCTTGGGGATCTCCGGTGCACTGCAGGACATATAGTACTCCTGGCTTCTGCCCTCTAAATGCCAGTGCTCTCTAGTACCCAAGACTACAAAAAATACTCCTACAATTAAAAAAAAAGGGGGGAGGCGCCTGGGTGGCTTAGTCGGTTAAGCGTCCAACTTTCACTTAGGTCATGATCTCGCGGTTCGTGGGTTCGAGCCCCACGTCGGGCTCTGTGCTGACTGCCAGCTCAGAGCCTGGAGCCTATTTCAGAGTCTGTGTCTCCCTCTCTCTGACCCTCCCCTACTCACGCTGTCTCTCTCTCTCTCTCTCTCTCCTAGAAATAAATTTAAAAAATATTAAAAAAAAATCTCCATAAGAGTGAAAATGCCCCCACCAAGAACCACCTTTAAAACAAATGGTGCTGAGGGGCGCCTGGGTGGCTCAGTTCATTAGTTCAACTATGCTCAGTTCATGATCTCCCAGTTTGTGAGTTCCAGCCCCCAGCCTGGCTCTGTGCTGACAGCTCTTGAGCCTGGAGCCTGCTTCCCATTCTGTGTCTCCCTCTCTCTCTCTCTCTGCCACTCCCCCATTTAAATGCGCTCTATCTCTCCCCCTCTCTCAAAGATAAATAAATATTAAAACAACATTTTTTTAAAAAATAAATAAAATGAATGGAGCTGAAGAGTCAGATCCCAGGAATATGCAGGAGGTCCCAGCCCCTGGATCTGGGGAAGGGATCCAGGAGGCTGCCTGGGTTTCTGGCTGGGCAATGAGCCAGCGTGTGGGGCCGTTTGCTAAAATGCAGGATTGGACCACGCCATTTGGGGGTGCTTGTGCAGTGTGCAGGCAGAGACAGAAGTGAAGAAGGGCTTTTTGGAAATGAAAGAAGTTTCCTATCAGTGAGTCAAACCAGTACTGATTGCTACGAAACCCCACTTCTCCTCCATCTCCATACTGGTCACATCTTCCCAGGAGGACAGTAGCAGCCGCTTCCGTGGTCTCCCTTAAACCCTCTGCCATACAGGCCATTCCCTACCCAGTAGCCAAGAGCTTTCTAGAGCCCACCTCCACGTGCCACTCTTCTTGCTCCCCTTCCTAGGCCCTGGCCTCTGATGGACAAATAACCTTCCAGTTTCCAGGCCTTTGTACATGCTGCCACCAACCCCCAACCTCCCTTCACACGTTAATAAATGTCCCTTTCTCAGGGAAGCCCTCCCTGACTTCCCAAGGAGTTGGCTGGGTTTGTGGACTCAAAAGAATTCATATTAAAAATTAGCAAAATAATATATAAACGTGCCTAGTACTTTGATTCACTCCTGTAAAAGACCTGAGGACAGGCCCAGTCCCGCTTGCGCACTGTCGAATATTCCACGCCTGACACTGAGCAGATGCTCAATATTTCATAAATGAATGAACGAGTGAACGAATGAATTTCTGCAGCCCGCCGACGGCTTTTATCTCCTGGGCGGTGCGCTTCCCCGCCTGCGCAGTCGCCTGGCCTCGGTTTCCCGCCTGCGCAGCGGGCGAGCCTCCGGGGGCCGACGTACCCGCGGAGGCGCGCGGCCGGGCCCGGTCCCCAGACCCAAGTGCCGGGCGCGCGGTCAGGGCGCGCGGGGAAGGGGCCGGGCCTGCCGGGGCCTCCGGCTGCCGCTCCGGGCTCCCGTGCTGCGCACGCGCACGCGCGCCGCCCCGCGCCCCGCCCCCTCCCGCGTCCCTCCGGCCTCGCGCCGTCCCAGCGCTCCGGGCCCGGCGCGCGCCGGCGCGGGAAGCGCGAGGCTGGAGGCGGGGGCAGTGGACGCCGAGGGGGAGGGGCGGGCCCGGCCCGGCTCGGCCCGGCCGCCCGCGCGCGGCTGCTGGAGCGCCCCGGGCCCGGCCCGGGCGGCGGCGGCAGCGGAGGCTCCAGCCTGAGGCTTTGGTGGCGCCCGGGCGCCGCGCGGCAGCCATGGCCCTGGTGACCCTGCAGCGCTCGCCCACGCCCAGCGCCGCCTCCTCCTCGGCCAGCAACAGCGAGGTGAGCCCCGGGCCCCGCGGCCCCGACAGGGCCGAGCAGCCGCCGCTCCAGGCCTGGGCCGCGAGTGCGGGGCGGAGGGCGCCCGGGCCCTGCCGGGCTCCTGCGGTGCGGCCGTGTCCGGGCAGCCGGCCTGGGGCTACTGTGCGGGAGCCTGAGCGTGTCACCCCGTCTGGGTGTGGAGCCGTGACCTCTGTTTGGGGGTGACTTTCAGTGAGGCTGTAGATGCCGGGGTGACCTCTGTCTGGGGGTGGCCCTACGTGAGACTGTGTGTGTCTGGGGATGACAGTGTTGGAGACCCGTTGTGCGACTGGGACTCCTGATTGGCGACTGTGGGAGATGCTGGCCCTGTGGCTGGTCTAGGCCCCTGCCCCGTGGTCCTAGCTGTGTATGTTAGACTGTGTGACGGTGGCCGGTCAGCTGGGAAGCTGTACCCGCCTGATGCTGTGACAGAGGCCCCCCGGGGGTGGGGTGCCCCGGGGAATGTTTGAGATTGTTTCCCCGACTGCCTGCCCCTGGAGGTCTGCCGCTCCGATGCCCTGTCACTGTGTGTCAGTGACCGGGAGAGCTCAGGGCGCTTGTGTGACTGGGTGTCTTGTCTTTGTGTGTGGCTGAGTCTGGATTTTTTCTTTTTAGTAATACCCTTGGGGACTGCACGTTTGTGTGTATCTGCTATGTGGCCCGGGGGATTCCGGGGTTCCTGCACTTGCCCGGGGTGCATCCTGGCTCCGGCAGGGTTCTGTGTGTCTGTGTGCCACCAGGCCTGGGGTGGCCAGCCCCTTCTTGCCCTGGGGGAGATTGGGGCATGGGTCCTCCGAGCCTGGGGCCTGTGGCAGCTGCAGGGCTGACCCGCTTGTCCCCTGCTGTCCCCTCTTCCCTGGGAGAGCTGTGGCCTCTGGTCTGCCCTCCCATCCGAGGCACAGCCGGAGTGTTGGCCTAAAGATAGAGCAGCTGGAGGAGGAGTTTGGGGACTGTTTAGAGAAGGGAAAGAAGGCTGGAGGAGCCCTGCAGGCCCCGGAAGTGGCCTCCCCGGCAGCTGAGCGATTCCAGCCCCTTCTCTGTAGGGGAAACTGACTGACTACATGGAAAGGTTTGTATGTGTCTGTGAGAGACAGGACAGAAGAGGAACTAGTCTGGGTGCAGGGGCCAGGTGGCCCTTCAGCCTGTCTCACCAGGAGCAGTGGGAACATTTTCAGAGAGGGTGTAAGACTGAACCCCGACGCACAGCCCCGTCTTCTCCAGGAGAGGCCATTGACGAGCTCCCTTGTCTGCAGACAGGATTCTGCAAGTCGCCCGCAGGGAAAAGAACATGGGTGGCCGGTTGCGTGTCACTGAGAATTCAGGCAGCAGTGGCTTCTCTCCTCCCTGCACAGACATCTGTTCTCCTCCATCATCACGATTCCTGCCGTCTTGCAGTTCACAGAGTACTTCCAAGCACTTCATCTCACATTCCCTTCTCAAAAACTGTGAGGTGAGGGAAGGGTTCGGCTTCCGTAAGGGATTGTACGGAGGGCCTGTCAGCCTTGGATCCTAGTCCTGATCTGTTCCTGTCTGAGACACAGTTTTGTTCTTTGGGTTTTTGTTTTTAATGTTATTTATTTGTTATTTATTATTAATTTTATGTATTTAATTTTATTTGTTTAGAGAGAGGGAGAGAGAGAATCCCAAGCAGGCTTTGCGCTTGTTAGTGAGGGGCTTGAACCCGCGAATCGTGAGATCATGCCATGAGCCTAAATCAAGAGTTGGACACTTAACTGACCAAGCCAACTGGGTGCCCCCAAGACAACAGGTTTTACATTTTACGTTATCTTTTAGCTGAGATGTAAGTCCTGTATCATCACCTCACTATTCCAGAATGTACGATTCAGTGCCTTTAAGTATATTCACAGGGTTGCATGACCATCACCATCATCTTGGGCCAGCAGTTTTCAGCACTCCCCAAAAGAACCCCCACACCCCTTTGCCATCACCTGCAGCTCCTCCCCCCATCCCCCCGCCTTACCCTGCTCTCCCCAGCCTCTGGGTTCCCACTAATAGTTGTGCTGTCTTCTTAGATTGGCCTGTTCTGGACATTTCATATGAGTAGAATCATACAATAAGGTGACCTTTTGTGTCTGGCTTCTGTTACTTATCATGATGTCCACAAGGTTCAGCCATGTTGTGGCAGGGGGCAATACTTCACTCCTTTTTGGTTGCCAAATAATATTCCACTGTGTGGGCCGATCACATGTGGGTCATTTGGGTCATCTCCACTAGACATTTAAAACTGTCATAGAGAGCATTAGTTTTACCAAGTGCCGATGACCCAGCAAACTTGAGAATAAACCCCTTAGCCACTTTTTATTTACCATTAGCAGAGCAGCAGCATTAACTGCCCAGTGAACTAGCCGAGGTGGGGGTGTTCCCTGGAAGGCCAGGCTTTCTTCTAGATGGAGTGAGGTGTGAAGAAACGAGGCGATCTGCACAGGCATGGGCACATGGGGTCAGGAGATGCAGGTCCAGGCCGCCTGGGCCCCTGCTCTGACATTCCTTCGGCCTCAGCTCCTGCGAAAGGGCTGGCCATCCTTTTCACATGCGTCCTTGGGCACATACAGCTTTCTCTGGAATAACTGACCTTACACCGCCTTCATTTCACTCCCGGGAATCCCAGAGAGCGACCGAGAATGAAGTGGCTTTGAGGTCTATACCCCTAAATCACTTCCCTTCCTGCTCAAAATGCAGCTCCTCCTCTGAGTCAGAGGCTCTCCGAGCGGCTGGTTCCTGACTCAGCCTGTTCAGCGTTGGAACGGGGAACTCAGCCTGACCAGCACAGCAGCCCTCCTCTCTTAATTTTTCCCCCTCCCTCCTCATCTTCAGTTCTCCCATTTATGTCATTTTTTACTGTCAGCCTTATCTCATTCCTTTGTGCGAATAAGCAGAAAGCACAACAGCAGATAAATCAATAACTTTCAGGAACGGATTGTGACATTGTTGTTTTTGACAAGCTTCAAGGTGACTAATTTTTGTGGGCCGATCTCCAGTCTCTTTTTCTTGGGGGTGGGGCGGGGCGGGGCATTGGATCAGGGTTTCTCAATCTTGGCACTGCTGACGTTGGGGCCAGAAGATTCGATGTGTTGTGCATCGTGGCATATTTAGCGTCATCTGGTCCTCCACCCACTAGATGCCAGCAGCATCTTCTCAGAAAAGGCTCCGGACATTGCCTGGTGTTCCCTATTGAGAAAAAATGTCCCCAGTTGGGGACCATTGAGTCAGACCCAACACTCTCTTCTAAGTTTGTGCTGTTGTTGTTGTGTGAGTTGTTTATGCTTGGCTTGGGGACGGAAGCTCCTGGCCCCGTGGTCAGTGAAGGCTTGCCTGACTTTTCCAGAAGGGTAGGGAGCGTGTGAACTAATTGGCCACCAGTGCCCACTGTGGCCTGATATGTACATACGGGATCGTAATGAAGCTTAGGGACTCCAGGACTCTCTGGTGTGTTTCTCCTTCTTTGTTGGAACTGCCACCTCTGCTGTGCGTCCCTTGCGACTCCAGCCCCTTTCTCCTGTGAGCTCTGTACTCTTTTCCCATCACCTCTGGCTGCTGCCTGCCTGGTCCCTGCCCTCGGTCAGCCTTGCATCTCTCCCGGGCCATCACTGCTTTCCGGGTTTTTCTTTCCTAGTCAGTGGGCTCCTCTGTGTAACATAACAAACATGCCAGGTCCCAGTGGTGCAGAGTTGTTAGGGGGTGGGGTGGGGGTGTTATTTCTGTTTTCTCCTTGAAAGCAAAAAAGGGAGACATGGCAATCGGGGCTTAAGTCCTAATTACTTTTAGATTCGAACCCTCTGGGCCTTTAAACTTCTAGAAAATATCAAACGTCCATTTCTTTCATTTATATAAATAAACCAGTAGCCTAGAAAGTTTTGTATTCAACATTTAAGCCTTTGAGAAGCACCAAGAGCTTTTGAGACCCACCGACAGACGGGCTGCTCCTGGCCACCTTCCATCATGAAAGACTTGCCTCGAATGGTTTTTCTTTTTCTTTTCTTTCCCTTTTATTTTTAAACCCATGTGTTGAGGCCTAAAATGGTGTTGGTCACTCAGCTATGGCCTGGCTTGAAGGAGGAAATAGATGCTCTTAAGACATAGCCCCCCACCCTGTAAAAAACGGTGAGATCCAAAAGAAGCCTAGAAAGTTGAGAAGAGCGTGTTGAGCAGCGCCAGATAGGAATGTCCAGTCAACAGGAATCGAGGCATGACAGGGTGGAAGGAATGTGGGTAACTGTTGGGAAGCCTGGAAATTCCTCCGTGGAAATGACTCGGAGGGACCGCAGAGTGGGCTTGCCAAGGAAAGGGTGCGACCATGTAGAAATAGCCAGGTTTCCTGGACATCTGTATCTTTTCCAGACATCAGAGCAGAAAATGTGAGACTCGTGTCTGCGGCTCATTTGCTGGTGGTGTCTGTAAGGTGACGTTCTCTTTCTTTCTCTGCAGCTGGAGGCCGGCAGTGATGAAGATCGAAAGGTAAACCTCAGGTAAGCAGACTGAATTTTCATTCCTAAGTCTTCCTTCCAAGCAGGCTAACTGCTCTGGTGCCCTTCCGTAGGAGAGAACCTGGGAAAAAAACACACCAGGTTTTTTCAGTAGCGCTTTAAAAATTATACCCAAAGCATGGACAGAGGTAGTGCTTTAACATTTGTATATGTATTTCACTATAAACAGCTCTCATAATGTCGCCAGACGTTTAGAAAAGAAAGCATCATTGACAGAATCCCACTGCCCTTCTTGCTTTACCATTATGAGCATCTCTGGAACTTGCTTCTAGATTTTACCTCTGCCTTTGAAAAAAGTAATCATCATAATGTTCTCACTTTTCCATCCTGCTTTTGATAAGGCGTTCTTCTGAGGTAAGCACATTGCTGATTTGAAACAGGCATCCTACCCCCTAAGTTTAATTCAAGTGGATTTTTTGGTGCTTGTGAGAAATCTTTCAATACACCTTTTTTTTTTTTTTAATGTTTATTTTTGAGACAGAGAGAGACAGACAGAGTGTGAGTGGAGAAGGGGCAGAGAGAGAGAGGGAGACACGGAATCTGAAACAGGCCCCAGTCTCTGAGTTGTCAGCACAGAGCCCGACGCGGGGCTTGAACCCACAAACCGTGAGGTGATGACCTGAACCTGAGTCGGATGCTTAACCGACTGAGCCACCCAGGCGCCCCTTTCAGTACACTCTTCTTAAAAAATTCCTCAAGCTGTAGCCCCCAGCTGCTGTATTCACTGGTAGACCCCAAAAGCATTTTTGTCTTTCCTTGCCAAACATGCAGGCCTTCTTTTGGGTGTTGCGTTTACAGAAGATTTAGCACTCCCTTCTATAATGTGCTCTTAGTATATAATGTATTCTAGACTAAGGCACCTGTCTTAAACTCTCTTAGAGCCTAAAAAAGAAAATAGAGCTTCAAGGATATTCTTTAAAAAAAAAAATGTTTCATCTCGTGAGGAGGACATCTAATTGGAGAGGGGAATGTGTGTTCAGAAACTGGGGTCCACCGTTCGTTTCAGAGAGCAGGATATTCTGGTTAAGCTCACATGCAGAAGTGTTAGAAACATGCGTAACCCGTCTTTGAAGGTTCTATGTCTTTGAGAGAAGGGAGAGAAAATACTTGCATTCTCAGGATCAGACGTAGAGGGAAATAATAGCCTCCAAAAACTAGAGAGGTCTTATTTCAATGGCCGGATCCTTGTTTTAATGTTCCCCTGGGGGACAATGACAGATTTACTGTCCCTTGGGTTGTTTGGGGTGTTTGGCTGCTCAGGGTCTAGGTCAGGGCTCGGAGGCTAGAATCAGCCAGACTCCCAACTGGGGGCAGTAACGGGCCGTGCTGTGGATCAGACTCTTGCTTGGCTCTCTTCTGCGGAGGCGAAGTGGGGAAGAAGTGGAAGTCGCCCTTGGGGGGCTTCCTGGGGGAGGAAGTGCTGGAGGGGGGCCTGCCGCCTCTGCAGGTGCATCTCCTGCCCCCAGCCTCGCTGTGCCCCCAGCCTCCCTGGAGTTGGAATCTCTTCCACCACCGCCCCCCGCCTTTCTTTCAGGGCTCTCCCCCTGGAGAAAATATTTAGTTCTCTCACTTAGATTGTCTTTGGGGGCAAAGAACTATTGTTGTTTTTTCCAAAGTGCTCTTAATTAGCAGACAGCATAGTGTTTTGAATTATGTCACTTAAGAAGAACTCACAAGTAGGAGCACCTGGGTGGCTCAGCAGGTTGAGCGTCCGACTTCGGCTCAGGTCATGATCTCACAGTTCATAAGGTCGAGCCCCACATCGGGCTCTGTGCTGACAGCTCAGAGCCTGGAGCCTGCTTCAATTTCTGTGTCTCCCTCTCTCTCTGCCCCTCCCTCGCTTGCTCTCTGTCTGTGTCTCTCAAAATAAAAGACATTAAAATATATATATATTTAAAAAACAAGAACTCACAAGTAGAGGTGATATGAAAACGTGTGTTCCCTGGTGGCCCGTAGAAGACCCTTTCTGTGTTCGGCTTGGAGCTGGAGACGCCCTCACAGAGGGAAGGGAAGGCCGTGCTGCACCTTGTGGTACTTAATCCTCTCAGCGGCCAGCGCCAGCGAGGGGCTTTTCCCGGTTTACAGGGGAGGAGCTGGAGGCGCAGGGCTGCACGCAGCCAGTACTATATTTGACGCAAGGCCCCTGAGTTGGTCCTAAAGAGCTGCCTGTCTGGAGAGCAGTGTCATGGTTCAGTGGAGTCCCCCGTCCCCAGCCGTCCAGGTGAGGGAGCCTGCCTGAAGTTACTGGGGGGTGGAAGGCAGTGCCAGGACCGGGACCGGGAAGCCCAGCTGACGCGGGACTGTCCCCCTGGATGTCTGCTGACCACGGGAATCCCTCCCCACTGTTACCGGCAGGGCCCCTACCTCATCCTCGTGAGCCAGGGGAGACCCTGGCCTGGAGCCAGGGACCTGGGCTCTGACCTTGTCCTCCCTGGTCCCTTCTGGGTCACCCTTCCCCCAACTTGACTTTACTCCCCGTTTTCAGGCTGATGACTCCATCCTGCTTGCTTTTTTTTTTTTTTAATGTTTATTTAATTATTTTGAGAGAGAGAGTGTGAGGAGGGGAGAGGCATAGATGGGGGGGGATAGAGAATCCCAAGCAGGCTCCGCACTCTCAGCGCAGAGCCTGATGTGCGGCTCGATCCTACCGACCGTGAGATCGCGACGAGAGCTGAGATCAGGCCCCTCCCGCGCTCCTCCCTCGGGCTTGCATCCCTGCCGTCAGCCGGACACTATCTCGAAGCACCCCTGGGCTGCTTGCTCTGGTCCTGCCTCGGCTGTGCTCCACCTTCACCCTCCATTGCTGCCCCTGCCTCCCACCCCTGCTCGCACGTGCTGTGTCTGTCCCACTCCCTGGCCATGCTCCTTCTTGAAGCCAGTTCTGTTTTCTGTTGGCCACAGTCCTCACAGCCAGCTCCATGCTCCCACCCCCGACATGTGTGACTTCCGCTACTTCGGCAGGTGGCACCCGTGGCCTGCGTTGCACGTGCCTGTGCTTTTGTGTCATCCCTTGCTGTAGGTGCCGCTTGCCTTAGGGACAGGGCCTTCGTTCTGGGCCTGTGCATGCATTTCAGCAGTTTAAGTACATTCGCTTTGCTTTGACCCTGCAGTCGATGCTTCACCTGTATGAGCAGGAGCGAGGTGTAGAGGACACAGCGTGGGGGTTGGAGTCAGGCGGACGGAGGCTCGGGCTCTGGGTCCTGCCCTACTAGCCGAGCTCCTGTACCTCTGCGCCTTTACTACACCTCTGCGGGTCTCTTTTGTTCCATCCGTGAGATATGTACAACCATGACCTTTCAGGGTCACGGAGTAGCTGGTGTGGGGCTCCTCATAGAGAGCCAGGCTCATGCCGGGACCATCGCTCCATTTGGTTCTCGGGAGCTGTCGTTCGTGTCTGTGTTAGTTCACAGCCCAGACTCAGAGGGCTTGACTTCCTGCAGGTGTGGCGTCCACCGTGTCGCGTGGGGCCCCTCAGGGCTACCGCCGGGGATGCTCCATGACCCAGCTGCGTCCCCGTAAGATGCAAATAGGAAGGCACTGTCTGCAGAATCTGTCGTGATTCAGACGGGTTCCCTGCAGGCCTCCCGGGAAACAGCTTGGGAGTGGATCACCCCGCGCCCAGAACGAAGCCGACCGACGCAGAGCAGCGCAGACCCAGCTCTCTGTGTCCTGTCCCCCGCCCTCGGCGTGCGCAGGCCGCCACCGGCCTCCAGCAAGAGTCTTCTGGAGGCCGGGCCGCTCAGACTGTGGGAATTGGTGAGCAGATGGCTTTGCTGGCAGCGGCTCCTGGCTCCCTGGCTGTCCTGGGAGCTGCCTCAGGCTGGCATGAGACGTAAGTGCCTGTGTGCCAGGCGGGGCCCCGGGGAGAGGATATGCTTGTGTTGCTTCCAGAGGGTGGATCAGGAGCGAATGTTTTTTGTTGTTGTTGTTTCCATGCAGCGTTTCCAAGCCAGGCGTATGAAAATGTTCATTAGAGTTCTTTTCCTTTTTTTTTCCTTGCCTACCCAAGCAGACGTTCGGGCCAAGGCAGCAGGAGACTTTGTTTTCTCTCTTTTCTCTGGTGTCCGGGGCTCCCTGCGCCCCTACTTTTCCCTGCGTGCTTTCTTCCCTGCTGGATTTTGGCCTGGAACTCCCCAGAGGACCCCACTCTCCTTGTAACCATCGGAGTGGGGTGTACCTTTCCTCCCTCCCCCACAGCACCCGGGTGGGGTGGGGGTGGGTGTGGCCTTGCTCCGCAGACCAGCTTCCCTGTCTCCGTTCAGTGCACCATCTTTTATGCCCGTCCACCCTTTGGGGCTCCTCTCTGCCTTTCTCCACGGTTTCTTGGCCTGGACTTCATTGTTGATGGTCTGTCTGGTTAAGTCCTGCCGAGAGGCCTCAGGTGCCCCTCGCATCCTGGCTCTGCAGCAGGTCACTGAATCAGTGTAACAAGCTGCCCCAGACCTGGCAGTCCAAAACAATTCCCCGTTCTCATCTCACGTCACCAGGGTCGGGAACCTGGGCATGCGTTAGCTGGGTCCTCTACTTGGGGTCTTGCACAGTTTAGCCAAGGGGTCCACCAGGGCCTGGCGTCTCCTCGGAGGGGAATCCTCCTCTGCACTTCCGTGGTCCTTGGCAGAATTCCCTTTCTTGAATCTGCAGAAGGTCACCGTGGCTTACTTCTTCAAGGCTGACAGGAGAATCTGCTGCTATGGGGTCTTGGAATGGAATGCAGTCCCAGGAGGGGCCACCCCGTCACCTTGGCCATACAGTATAACCTAATTACGGGAACAGCTGTCTCCTCCAGTTACCCGGTCGCACCACACTCAGGATGGGGGCTCACGCAGGGCTCCTGCTTCAGGGGCTGGGATCTTGGGCCATCTCAGAATTCTGCCCACCGGTCTCAGGCTGTGGGTGCATTATGTCAAGGTGATGCCGGCCGAGGGATGTTGGGTCCTCATGGGAGGGGACCAGGAGCACCAGTGAGCCCGCAGGGTTCGACC